TTTTTTTTTTTTTTTTTTTTTACTGGTGCTAGTTTGCTGTACTAATGCTTTCTTTTCTAAGGTGGAGTTGTGAAATTTGAAATGCAGGCTAACAGGATTTAATATTTCTTGCCGTTCAGTAGATATTGTCGAGATTCATTTGCCAGGCAATCTTGGAATAGCTTTCTATACTAGCCACAAATGTTCATGAGGGAAAAAGAGAGGACTTTGGTTTTAAACATATGGTTGTGCATGGCCATGTGCTCCAGGTAGAACTGCAAATGTTATTTTCAGATCTATTAGATGCTCCCAATGTGGATCCTATGTTAATAGCCTCAAAGTGCACATTACCATTGGTGGTATTTAGTCTGCAAAAAAGAAGGTGAGGGAAGAGGAAGGAAGGAAGGGGAAGGAAGTATTGACAGTTTTCAAATATACAAAGGGCAGTTATACAGGAGGAGAGTGATAGACTATTCTCTGTGGTTGCAAGGTACAGGGCACAGAGTAACAATCTTAAATTGCACCGTAGGAAACTTAGGTTGGAAATTAAGAGAACTTTCTTACTCTGACAGTGGTTAAACATTGGAACAGGTACCCAGATGGATTGAGGAATCTTTGAACTTGCAAGTTTTTAAGAGCAGGTTAGACTAACATTTGTGTATGATACTAAAGAGAGAGATAGCCCTATTAGTCTGAATTCAGGCAGAAGGCAGGACAGGGTGGCTGGCATCTTAAAGACAAATTCAGAGACACAAGCTTTTTTAGGTAACAGCCTAGTCAGAGATGATCCTGCCTTGAGCAGGGTGATTGGACTAGATCATTGTTTCTCAGCCCATGGGTCATGACCCAAAAGTGAGTTGCAAGAATATATGAAAGGGTCTTGAACAAACTTTAAAATTGGATTCTCCCTTAGAAGAGAAAAATGTGGGAAACTATGGCTTTTCCCTTGCAGACTGTCAGAGTCCTCACACACTCCCAACCCACTGCCTCCACCCCCAGACTCCCAGTGTGTGGGGCAGGGAGGAGTGGCCAAATGTTTACAGATGGGTCCTGGTATGAAAGTTTGAGAACCACTGGAGTAGATGACCTCCTGAGGTCCCTTCAAGGCCTACTCCATGATTCTGTATGGGAAAGCTATATCAGAGACATATGTATCAGCATATTTTCAGCTCGTTTCAAAGCAGCAACATGTACTTTGTCCCTGCAGGAGAAAGGTTTATCCCCTGCTGCTCTGTATTTCATGTCCCTCTCCCACTGGGTTACTATATCTCTGCTGAGCCAAGGGAGAAATACCGGCCTTATGGTAACAGCTTATCTGCAGGGCTCTGCAGTCCAAAGCGTGCACTCTTGAGTTTTTAATTATTGTACAATACTTCAGTCACATTGACGTCACTTCCAGTGCTTTGTATCCTACCTTTGATGGTACAGTCACAGGTAAAAGCTTTCAGCTGGATCATTTGTTACTGTTTAAAGTGTTCTGAAGTCCTCAACTGGAAGCTACTGTTGAAAAGCAAATAACTACTGCTACATTCTCAGGGTTGTCCAAAAAGTTGCAACTTAATTTATTCAAAATTATTTATTTCACAAATTTTTATCCACAGCTGAATATTACAGTAACCATTACAAGCATTTTCCTATAAACAAAGGTGTAGTTTACAGATTGTTCAAAATGGAAAAATATTATTTTATCTGCAGTAGTATTTCATCTACACTAATCAGGATTCACCCTCAAGTACCATTCAACTTCCTTCAGAGCAGCTGTACCTTCTGCTTAAGGTAATGAGACTTCACACAAAAAAATAGGCCTTAGATTAGTATCAGAGCATATGTTTTTGGATAGTTTTTCCTTTTTTAATTTCAGTGGAGTTTGAAAATTTGTATTTACTGGCACTTGTACTTTTAAAGAAGAAATTCTGTAAACTTGAGGGGAGTATATTCTCTCAGGTGTTTCACTAACATTCACTCTTATTTCAGAAAGAAAATGTTTAGTTATGGTTATTATATGCAATTCAGTAAGAGTAGAAGTGAAGGTTTATGGTGCTTCATGCAATTCACTTTAATTAGATTGGCACATTTAAGTGCAGTCAAACTCATCTCAATTCTAAACACTGTGCAATTATGTCAGTCTGACAAGAACAAATAAGTTTATATAGTCAGGTAACGGGTTTATACTGAACAGGGAAGAAAACATGACCTAGTGTTTGCAGATCTTACTTGGACTATACAAAATGAAGGCTGGATCTTGGAAATGCTTAGAGAAGAGCTTAACTACACTGGGTTCAATTCTCCACTCTGTTGCACAGGTCTCACAAGGAGACAATCAGTCCAGGGACTACTCAGGTAAG